TCTCTCTACTTACATTGTGCTTAACTAAACTGTAATAAACTGTAAAAAGCGAGTGAAGAGCGCATGTACATGTGCCAACAGTCAATTCTCCTTCAAACAGATTTATTCCAGATATACTTGTAATAACCAACCAATGAATGTCAGAATATGTAAAGCATCGGTAATAAGTAATACTTAAAAGAAAAGCAAAACTATGCGTAAAGGATATGAAAAGGTAATTCACAGAATAAGAAGCATGTATGGCCACAGAACTTATGAAAAGACGTTCATTCATCTCATGGTGCAATGTGGGGAATGCAGATTCAAACAGTTTCACTCTTCAGTCTGATAAAAAGAAATCTGGTAACATATTTCTAAGACAGGGTCTTCCTGCATCTACCTCCAGGCCAGGTTCCAACTCAAGGAGACAACAGAAGACATGACAGCAGACACTCCCAGAGCTGCAGGGCACTTAAGCACAACACTAGATGACACTCAGGACAGCAGCCACAGCCACCAAATGACCGGACAAAGCTAAGCCAGGCAGTACCCGCAGCAAAACCGTATCAATAACTTGGCTACTTACAAAGCCTCTTCTGGCCTCCACCTTCAGGGGTCCACAGTGACCTTTTCCAAGATCAGCCTGGTCCCAGGGTTCAAATCCACTGCCCGCCCCTCAAATGCTGAAACAGCTCCAAACCTGGAACTCAAACCTTGAATTCAAACAAACAACCTTCTTTCTTCTCCCTCTGCTTGTCTCTTTCTGCTCTAGTCTCCCCTGTTTCCTCTCCAAGGCAGCTGCTCCTCAAAATCGATACTGTTTAACATTATTCCTGAGGATGTTTTTGTCTTCAGAGCAACCCTTCCTGGAAGGGCACATTTTGTTTTTGTGTTGAGAATGCACCAAAGGGCCTCAAGAATAAAAGCAGAAAGAACTGTTGCAAGTCTATTGCAGTTATTCAGATGAGAGATGATGGTTCATTGCACCTTTAATTTTTTAAAAAAGATTTATTTATTTATGCATAAGAGAGTTGTGGTGTAGGTTGTGGTAGGAGGTGGATTCACTAGAAACGAAGTGGGGAACAGAACAGGCTGATCTATTGAAATACACTGCTGAGGGGAGCAGCAGGTGAGACAGGAGAGGCCTGCTTTGCCATGTGGGTCAGCTCCCTGGCCAGGGATCAAATTCTTGCTGCAGTAGCTGCACATAGCTTCACAGTGCTGAACCCTTTGTGCCAGCAGAGAGGCCCTGCATTACACCTTAAATATAGCAGTGGAGATAGTGAGAAAGTGGTTGGGTTTTGGACATATTCAAAGGTAGAGCCAAAATGATCTTTTGATGAATGGATGTGTAGTGGGGGAGGAAGGGGGAATATTATATCAATATTTTTGGTCTGAGCAGATGGACCAATGGAAATGCCATTAACTGAGATCAGGAAGGATGCAGGAGGAAGTAGATTTTGGGGGAAAGATTAGGAATTCTATTGGGGACATTTTGAGTTTGAGAGTCTATTAGATTTTGAGTGGAGGTACTGAGTGGACAGTTGGGTATATTGAACTGCAATTTGGGATACAGATCTGGTGTGCAGACAAATTTGGAAGTTAGCAGCATAGAAATGGTTTGACATTAGTGGGCTGGAAGAGATAACCAAGGGACTATAGATAGAAATAAGAAGAGCAGGAACAGAGCACGGGCACTTCCATCTTAAGAGGTCTGGGAGCAGAGGAGGAGCCAGTAAAGGAGATTGAGAAGGAGTTGCCAGTGAGGCCAGCGGAAGCCAGGATACTGTGGTGTGTTGGAAGCCAAGTGAGAAGGTGAACTAAGGAGTGACTCATCAGCTGTCCAAATACTGCACAGGTCAACTAAAGACTAAGAATTGATCATTGGATTGAACAACTGACAAGAGCAATTTCAGTAGTGTGTTGGAGGTGAAGCTCTGATTGGAATGTGTTCAGATGATACTAGGAAAAATTAGCTAGAGGACTTCTCCCTGTGTCTTTGCATGGATTTTCATGCTCCAGTGTGGTCAGATGTATTGGATTAGGGCTTACCTATATGACCCCATTTTACCTTAATTACCTCTGTAAAGAGAGGTACCAAGTGACAATCTGATATACAGGGGGTTAAGATTTCACCATATAAATTTTGGAGGACAAAGGGCAGCCAATATTAATCATGTGTTGTAGCAACTAGAAGGCTACATACAGATGCAGGTGCTAATGGGTGGGTGAAGCAATTCATGGTGAGTCTAAGGAAGTTCTTTTCTGATGACCTTCATTTTCTAGTGAAGTAAAAAGCAAGTGAGGAGTGCAATGTGCAGGGGGTGTAGGGAGTATGAACAGAGAGAAGTTGTGATACAGCAACTTAGAAAAGTCTGAAAGTTAAGGGACAGCAGACCAAAGAGTGACTGCCTGGCATCATTGAAAGTCTGATTTAGGTTCATGGTCATGAATTTGAACTGAGACTGTGATGTGATTATGTATTTTCCTCCAGCTAGGTTTAGCTGTGTGTGTTCAGATTCCTTCAAGTGAGTTTGGATTTAGCCAGTTATGATTTTGCCAGAGAAGCAATACAAAGTGAGAGAGGGGCAGGAAATTGAGGAGTTTATGTAAGTGAGTGATTATAAAGATTGGCATGACATTTAAACTAAGGAAGGAGGGAAAAGAAGACAATAAGAGAGCAAGAGATGGGAAGGAAAGCTGCAAGAGATGGTAAAAATCTGGTAGGACCAATGGACTGGAGATACTGGTGACACTGAAGGGTACCAAAGGGAGTCAGCTTGAAAAAGAGGGTATGATGGTTATATAGAGGAATGTTTGAAATTGAGATTGTGGAGGAGAAATTGAGATTATGCTATAATTGCTATGACAAGGCCTATGGTATGGATGTTTGATTAGGAGTGAATGGGGTCAAGGACAATGTCATGGCAAATAGTCAATGAACTGAAAGAGCAAATGTGTCCAAATGATCATTCTCCAGCTCACCAAAAATTAAGGCTGGATTACTACCGTTGAAAGTGACAATGTACCCGGGGTGAAGGTCTTTTAGAAGCAAGGTGTGTGTGTGTGTGTGTGTGTGTGTGTGTGTGTGTGTGCGCGCGCGCGCGAGTCTGAAGTTTGGCAGATGGCAACAATGAAGGCTAGTCAGTGATACCAGCTGTCAGAGGTGTGAGGGTTTTTAGAGAGATGGAAGAGTAATGGTCTCAAGGAAACAATAAGAAGCAACAAAGGCATTTACCCAAATTTCAGGCTCTATGGTATCATAATGGTGGTGGTGGGGGGGGAAACGAGCGTTCCTTAGGGAAAACAGAATCCACAGGGAAGAGCAGGTTTCTGTTTAAGGAAGACAATGAAGGGCACCTTCAGAGAAGAGGTTGAGGATATAAAGGATTTATCAATGGTGCATTGTACATGGGGAGTCAGGGAAGAGAGTGATATGTGAACTAAAGAGGGGATATGATCACAGCTTTATGAGGGTTAGGATGTGGGAGTTGAAGGGTGTTGTGGTGGTCTTGAGGTTCTTGTACTGGCACCAATGGAGATGGTCATCAGCAGAAGAGTTCTAACAGTCAAGGCAGATAAAGGTGGTAGGATTGTGAACTGGGTTAAGGAGAGTTGGGGGTCTGTTTGGTGCTTCCTGTCAACCCCTAGTGATTGTAGTAACAGTCTTAGACATGGAGCACTGGTCCACACAATATTCCATATTGCTCATGGAAATAGGTATCATGTGAACCTGTAATGATAGAAAAATAGGCTAGAAATTACACTTCACTTTCAGAATAGGGCTAAATAGAAATGGAGTGATGGTGTTGGAAACCTAAATTCTTCTGTTTTATTCCTTAAAAAGGATAAAATAAGCATACTCAAATGTTAACTATATTCAAATATGAGTGGTGGAAACATTGCTGTTTATTATATTTAATGCTTGGAACACTGGTATTCTATAAATTATTTTCGTTGTTGAATGAGTGTGCCTTTCTTTGTTAAAACTGTAAAAGTATACGAAAATCTCAAATTAACACAATATATTACAACAGCATAGAACGGGGAATGGAGAGAGTGGGAAAGGCAGAGAGAGTGATCACTGATCTTTGTAGATCTCTACATGAACCATATGGAAAGTATGGGGTGCAAGTTACAGATACAGTCCTATCTCCATTTTACCTTAACACACTGAGGTTCTGGAGACTATCTAGAAAATGACCTTGGACATTTAATTCTTTCAAGTAACTATCTGTTCCTCACTTCTCTCCCCAGCATAGACACTGGGTGGTGCTGCTGTCCAAAAATTGACTTTATCATGGATCCATTACTTCACTCTATGGACACATTTGACTATTGTTTCCTGTGGGCCAAAGAAAACTCAGGATTGGGGACATAAAGATAAGTGGCCACAGTAAATTCTCCTCTGATTACCCTCAATTGATTACTATCATGTTCAGGGAGTGGCTTAGAAGATAGAAAATGTGTCTTTTACATAGGAGGGCACCACTGACATTGAAATGTCCAGCTGTGGGTATAAATGACTGAATTACCCACCTTTTCCTTGAGAACCCCTTAACAGAACCTGTTTAAGGATTAGAAAAAAACACCACTTCCAAACCGGTTTGGCAGTTACAGCGTACTTAGGCCCTGATGGCTAAAAAAAAAAGAGAGAGAGATTGTTCCTTCAGCTTGAAACTCCAGACTTCCAAGGTTAGCTGGGCCAGATGTGTGTGCTTGGTGTAGAGTCCCTGTGGTTGTGAGGCATGAATACACTGGGAAGAAGAGAAGTGAACCTTCAAACGAATGTGGTGGAAAGGCTAGGGCCCGATCGGTGTGGGCTTGCAGAGCGTCCAAGGGGGGGGGGGAGGGTCTGGCATGACGTTATTAAGATTCCTCGCAAGGAATGGGGTCCGCAGCAGAGGCGGACCTGGACTCCGCCCTCAGCGTTAAAGTGGGGGGGAGGGGGAGGAGGCGGGTCTGGCAGCCCGCGGCCAATCGGAGAGGATGGGGGCGTGGCTCTCGGCGGGTATTATAAGTGCGGGGTTTGGGTCCTCGAGGCCCACGTTCTCCTGTGCGCGAAGAGGTCTCAGTGCAGCGGTCGGCCTTCCACTGGTTACCGAACCTCCGGGTGAGGACTGGCGGCTCCGCTCGAGCTGTAGTACTAAGGGGACAGGCGGGCGCGGAGGCCGCGGGGCCGGGAAAGCGGGGCCGGACTCTGGGGAACTGGCGGGTTCGAGTGGCGCTGGCGTTCGTCTCTGGGCGCCTTTGTCTGCCGTGGCGCCGCCCGCCGCGCACGAGGTGGATTCCTCCTTGGAATTCGGTCCCCGGGCGGCTGGAGGGAGTGGCACCCCAGAGCCGGAGCGTCAGTGGTGGCTGCAGGTGGGGCTGGCCCTTAATTCTCTCCCCTCCCAGGTCCATAGGTTAGCCTGGACGCCCAAAATGTAAGTAAACTGCACCCGACAAACTCACGCACTCCGCCCCGTTATTTTTTAAAGGTTAATTCTAGTTTTACCAACTCTGGAGATTGGCCTCTGATGGCTGTCAGTGGAGCGTTTTAGGGGGACCACGAAGGAGGGGAAGGGTATTTGGGACTTGTGTCTGCCTGGGTTCTTTCCATTCTGCCCTGGGCTCTAGCTGTGTCTCACCCTACCAGGGTGGGGCCAGACAGCACGTGAGAGCTCTTCTTTCCGTCTCTGGGGGTCTCCTATTGTCTCTTCTGGACAAAACCGGAACGGTCTCATGGCACCTCGTCTAACCTCATCGTTTCCCCTCTCCTTTGCAGAGAAAACATGGTGAAATTAGAATCTGCTCTATTCGATTTACCCCAGTCTGCCGAAGTTCTCAGTCTGGTCTTAATTAGGTGTGCCGCCTTGGAGCGTTTAGAAACCAGTGCCATTAGGAGCAATTATGAGACGTGTGATTAGTTTGGATTAAATCCTTCCTTATATTGTAGCTGAATATGCTGGGTTTAGGCACATAAAGAGAAAAGAAACGAGGCCAATTTATGGTACCTTTTTTCCATGCTGCTCCCTATCCCCAAGAAACATTCCCCCCTTCACTCCCCAGAAACTGACTAAAAAGTGAAAATGCTCAAATAGTGTGCTCTCCTGTTAAATATTGAGTAGCTGGTTAAACCCAGTCTTTATTTTTTCCCTCCTTTACATCTCTGCTCTTGGGCCTCTATCGCCTCCATTTTCCACCGTGGGACATAGTTCGCTCTGGGTTTGCAGAACATCTTGGTTTTGTGTACATCTTAAAGTCATTGGCACTTAACTATTAAATGAGGTAATAATGTGGAATAAAAGTATTGTAATAAAAATCATGGTTTTTCTAAAATAGGTGAAAATACACATTTGATATCAAATATGAAAATCTTACGTGTTACTCCTTAGTTCCTATAATAGGTCTAACAGACAGGGTTTTGTTTTGTTTTGTTTTTAATGTGTTGTGTATTTCTTTTAGTCAAGATGAGTGATAAACCGGATTTGTCCGAAGTGGAGAAGTTTGACAGGTCAAAACTGAAGAAAACTAATACAGAAGAAAAAAATACTCTTCCCTCAAAGGAAAGTAAGTCATGGGGCTTTCTAGTTGAGACAGTGGTGAAAATTGCTAGATTCAGTAAATAAACTCTTCTAGTAAGTTTTTCACAAAATAATAAGAGTGCCAGAGTACTTAATGCATTGCTGAAAAATTTCAAAATAATTGCCTTTTTATTTGACTTACATGTTTCTCACAACATAAGCTCTTAATAGTAATGGGGGAATAAAAAATGTTTTTGTTGAAAAATTACTAAAAAGCTCAATGCATCCAATCTTGGAATGCTGGACTTAATATAGAAACATAATAGTTTTGTCCAATTTTTGTATGTTTGGCATTTTTCTACACCTCTGTACTTGGGTCTGTGATTTTTATCCCTAAAGAGCTTCCAAAGTGCAATTTTGGCCTTCTCTACCTGATGACAAGATAAGGTGGAAGAACCAGTTTTAAGTCTTGGGTATAGTCAAGCTTCCCAGGGATCAAGGGATTGATTTTGCCTTCCTGACTTAGTCTGCTGGAGGAAATCCAAGCTAAGGAGCTTGTTTTGCTATGTCAGCATTATTCAAAAGCTTCAAAACTAGTTAAAATTGGCTAAATTGCTACCTAATTGTACTGCAATAGCTAAATCTGAAGAAAGTGCTTCACTTGCCCATCAGTCTCACAATAAGAGATGGGGAAAAATATTTCTATAGGAAAAGACATACAGTTGGTGTTGATTTTGATGTGTTTAGTTATACACATTCGCTTAACCCCCTATGCTGAGGATTTATGGCTAGTGTTAATAACATTATGAATTTAAAGCAGGCATGGTAATCTTTAATAACTTGGCAAGGAACTCTTTTAGAAGAAACAACTTAACCCTAGGAAAAATACCCTCTAAATGAACTTTCTTTTGTGTTTGTTCTTCCTCTCCCTCCATGCAGCTATCCAGCAGGAGAAAGAATGTGTTCAAACATCGTAAAATGGGGATCTCCTCCCAAGAGCAAATTTCACCGTTGCCTGAGTTTCTTGGTTTGGGGCTTGTTTCTTGTAAACCTTTGTGTTGTAGAGAGTTTAGGCATCTTTCTTTTGGATGTGTTCTCAGCCACACTCCCTGGCTAAGAGGTCAGGGGTAGCCAGTGTTTTCTTATATTCACTTTAAAACTCCAGCTGCCAGATGCCACCCATTTTCCCCACCAGTGACCTGTGTGTGTGTTCTTACACCCCCAAGTGATAAACCACTTGTAACTTTTTACAGTGGATGTCTTCATTACTCTGTAATCTTCACAATGTGGCATGCATTTGCAGCTTCTCAGTTTCCTTTCATTTCTAATATGAGAATAAAAGAATAATTATCATGTTGAGACTCCTGTGGTCCATTCTTGGTCTTCTAAGGAATGAAAAAACAAGGATACTCTTTCAGCTAAACAAAATGGTTGAAGGAAAACTGCTTCAGCAGATTAGTTACATAGGGAAGGTACTCCCCTGTTCAGATCAAGTGGGTCCTGACTTGGGGCTGCTAGTTGCTTTTTCCCTAGAGTTGGAATCAGAGACATGGAGAACATTGGAGGAGTTCAGGTAGACTAGCCCTCATCAGAGATGAGGAAATGAAAATGATGTCTACAGGGATAAACTCCCACCCCCATTTAGATGTTGAATCTGTAACACCTAGTGTGACTAGTTTTGGACAAGTAGGGTATTTAGGATATAATTAAGGTTAATTGAATTCCTAAGGGTGGGGTCCTAATCTGATAGACCTGTGCGCCTTCAAAAAAGAAGAAAAGTCACCCATGATCTTCCACCAAGTGAGAGCACAGTAGAAAGGTGGCAGATTGCAAGCCAGAAGAAGTGTGCTTACCAGAAATTGACCCTGCTAGACCTTTATCTGGGACTTCTAACCTTTTGAACTATGAGAAAATGAATTTCTGCAGTTTTAAGTCACTCAGCCTATGGTCTTTGTTACAGCAACCTGAGTTGGCAAATATAAGGGATACATATAAATAGGCAAGTTCTGTCTGCTGTCCTTAAATAATAACACATCACTTCAATTTTATAAGAATCACCTATAATCCCACCAGTCAGAAGTCTAGTGTTTGAGTGTAAAACCAGATCGGGGTCTATTGACACATAAATGACTTTTCCTACAGAAAGGGATTATGTACTTGTAAGCTCAGGTATTATGTTACCTTTTCTAAAGAAAAAAAAGATTTATTTATGCATATAGAAATGGGGTACAAGCCAGAGGTGCAGGGGCCGTGAGAGATTGACCAGAGATAGAACAGGGAGCAGAACAGGCAGACTGACAAAGTACACTGCTGAGGGGAGCAGTGGGTGAGACAGGAGGGGCCAGACAGGCAGGGTCTGCTATGCATGTCACCTCCGGGCGGGGGAATCAAACTTTCACTGAAGCCTGTGGCCAACTTTCAGTGCTGTGTCCTAACCTGTTGCACCTCCAGGGAGGGCCCTATTTTACTTTCTAAGGATTGACATCCATGAATATTTGCTGGGCTTACAGGAAGTAGAGGTGTTTAATTTGTAGATGCATAAACTTCCATATATATGCAAAACAGATTGGTCAATCCTGACCAAATGTCGATGAGATGGCACAATCATAGCACTTAGTATAGCCAGAGTGAAGCAGGAAGTTTCCCAAGTCTGCTGCTTGGGGGAAAGTAGATTCTGCTAATTTCCCAAGCCTGCTGCTTGGGGGAGTCTGCTGTTTTGATTTTGCTGCTTGTTGGAGCGGAGAGGGAGCGGAGAAGTTGCTGGGTGCACCACACTGCCTGCTCACAGTGGTAGCCTTGGCTACCCTGACCTCCTTGAACAAAAAAGAATGCTTATGCTATAAGTGAAATGACAAGTTCCGCCATACAAACTGTAAAAAACCTTACTACTCTTGTAATTCAGGGCTCTTGTAATTCAGGGCTCAGCTTTTTGGGACTGATCCCACTGAGCCCACCAGTGTTAAGTAAATCTCTCTCCAGCTCTTTGAGTGCCATCTGATTTCTCTGGAACATTGCCATAACAAGAGGATTTGAGAGTTGTAAGTAACCATGTTGGTCATTAATACCTGACCTCTTGCCTGAAACAGTTATCCAATAGTCATTCAGGCTCTTGCTGTGACAGACTCTTACACTGTGCCCAAATTTGCCTGCTGTAAGTTCTACACAGCGGTCCTAGGACTGCATGCTTGAGACCACGCAGAATAGTTAATTCTTTCTTCAGTATTTGAAGTCAGCTGTTACATACCTGCCTTTCTACCTCCATACTTCCAAGTCTTCTGATAATACTTCTCTGATCCCTTGCCATACAAGTTACACATAGGGTAAACCATCGCTAATGTGCTCAAATTTGCTCCTGAACTGACTTCTTCACATCCTGACTCTGTATCCAACACATTTTGTTCTTTCAACATTGCCATTTGTAAATTTGAGAAAGATGTACATCTATGATAGATTCAGCAACCCCTGCATTTGTACACTAATCCAGCTCAAGATTAGGCTCATTTCAAAAGGCCCAAAAGAAAGGTGAGGTGGGGTTAGATACTAGCTCCCATTGTTCATCCTTTTCAGTAATGTATTGATTCCTTTCTAAGCAGTGTGATAAACTGAGTGGGAACAAATGAGAGGTACATGGCAGCAGGCCATGAAGAGTCATCCAGATATGAGATTGGAAAAACAATAGCTCACCTAGAATAACTTAACACTTTATTTCTTCAATATATAATGCAGGACCGCTCTGCTAGTCACTAGATCCACTTGCTTGTTTTGGCAGAAAGAGATTTGTTTCCCTCCCAATAAACCTGTTAGCAGGGATCAAGATTTAGGGTCCTGTATAGAAACTGGCAAGAACAAAAAAATGCTATGGCTATTTCCTTCTCCATTCCCAAAAATGAATACTCAGGAAGTTACTGGTTCACTTGGGTCACCTCTTCCCACTTTGAGCTCAGGAGCTACAGGTCCTACATTTAGGCTACTCTGATTGGCACTTCCATCATCCAGTGATATATATTTACAGGTCATGAAGCTTTGCATTAAAAACAAAGTAAAAACTGGAAGAAAATAGAATCAGATAAATCTGAACAAGATAAGCTTATTACTCCAGTTTGTAGGAAGCTTAAGAAATGTACCATTTAATGAATTTTTGAGTTAGCTGATTTTGGACTGTGGGTCCTTGATTGTTTAAATGTATTCTACAATAGGGGTCAACTTGAAGACAAGTTTATATGGGGTATTTTGTTTTAGGAATAATGTTTCCCCCAACTTGATGCTTGTAATTTTTTTTTGTAATGTGGCACCAGATTTATTTAGTACTACTTAAAGCAGATTTTTTTTGTATCCTTATACACACACACACACACACACACACACACATATCCACACTTTTTTTTTTTTTTGAGTGTAAGGATTCATGAGTAGCCTGTCCTCCCCATTGGACTTCTACTGTAAGCTCTCAAGGACTGGAACAGTGACCGCCTCACTTGTCTTCCCAGTGCCAATGTAGTAGCAGGGACAAGGCTGGTGTTTGGTGAATGAATCCTTGAATTAGTTAAATAATGTGAATGCATCTCAAACTAGTCTGAAAATTAGAACCACATAGAAAGTTTGTTTTTTGCTAAAAGAGAATTTATTTACTTATTTTTGAGCACAATTAGACTACATTGGGTATTTGCTCTTGTGGGCACATCAAAGAATTTTTCAGAAACTATTAGTATGTTCTCTGTCCACTTTTTTGTCTTTTCCCAACCATCATCCCTTGTTCCTTTCCTCTAGCCCCTTAACCTCAGATCCCTCACCACATTTATTGATGTACACTGGTTTTTGAAAGTGTTTTATAATATTCAGTTGTCTATCATGTAAATGTCCAACATTTGTTTTTATTTTTCTGACTTGTTTTTCTACATATATTTCTCACACTCCCCATATGTTGAAAATGACTGCCTTTCATTCTTATGACTATACAGAGGTCTTAAGACTTCTATGTATTTTATTTTTGCAGATCTAATACCTAAATCTTGAATCCCTTTGGAATTTTGTTAACCCCGGGCCAGCCGGGCAATGCGGTCTCGAGGTGCGGGCTGGGGATGATAGTAAACCAGGCACACACACACACGCACACACACACACAGCTGGGGATGATAATAAACCAGGTACACAGACACACACACACACAGCCAGGCAACGCGGTCTCGAGCCAGCTGGACCAGGGAGGCGCGCGCACACACACGCCCACACACACACACACACACACACACACACAGTGGGGCAACGCGGTCTCGAGCCAGCCGGTCAACTCGGTCTCGAGGTGCGGGCTGGAGATGATAATAAACCAGGCACACACACACACACACACACACACACAGGATTCGCTGAGGATGATAATAAACCAGGCACACACACACACACAGGATTATCGGGCAAAAGGAAGCTCCTTTATTGTTTCGATTCCCTCCTTATATATCCCACAGTCCCCGCCTCCGTACTTTTTCACCCCCCTTGTTTGTACACGGTCTGAGCATTTAGTCCTGCCAGCTAAAACATACTCCCTTTCCGGTGCAAGAGACCCTTGTTCTTTAAAAGCCCACAGTATTTTTTTCTAGTCCTTCAGTAACCTCGACTCCATAGCTCTCCACAGAATTTATTTTCATGTATAGAGTAAGAGAATGATGCAACTTCTTACTTTTTTGTGTGACCTTCCAGTTTTCCCAGCACCACTTAATAAAGAGGCTGTCCCTTTTACAGTCATAGCTGCTTTATCATAGATTAGGTGCTGGTATGTATATGGATTTATTTCTGGGCTTTCAATTAAATCTATCCCATTGATCCATGCATCTGTTTTTGTGCCAATACCAGGTTATTTTTAATACTGTTGCTTTATAGTAAAGTTTGAATCACATAACTTGATACCCCCATTTCTTTCCTTTTTTCTTAAGTTTGCTTTTGCAATTTAAGGCTTTTGGTTGTTCCATATAAATTTCAACATATTTTGTTTAACTTTGAAAACCATTTTTGATATTTTGATGGGTATTGTGTTAAATTTATATATTATTTTAGGGAGGATAGTCATTTTGATTATGTTGACTCTTGCATTCATGAACATGGGTTATATTTCCATCTCTGTATGTTGCTATCTAAGTCCTAAGCAGGCTTTTTGACTCCTTAGGTAATTTTTGAGGTATTTTATTCTTTTTGAAGCAATTATAAATGGAAATATCTTCTTCATTTATTTTGCTTCTTGTTTGTATATAAAAGGGCTATGGATTAAAAAAAAGATTTATTTATTTATACATACTAGAACTGGGGTACAGGCCAGAGGTACAAGGGGGTGAGAGGATTCACCAGAGACAGAGTGGGGAGCAGAACAGGCAGATTGACTGAAATACACTGCTAAGGGGAGCAGCAGGCAAGACAGGAGAGGTCTTTTGTGCCATGTGGGTCACCTCCCTGGCCAGGAATCGAACTCATACTGCAGTGGCTGTGGATCACTTCATAGTGCTGCACTTTAACCTGTTGAAACACCAGGGAGGGCCAGGCTATGAATTTTTTAAAAAAGATTTATTTATTTATTCATACAGAACTGGGGTACAGGCCAGAGATGCGGAGGGTGAGAGGATTCACTAGAGACAGAGCAGGGAGCAGAACAGGCAGATTGAGGAAGTACACTGCTGAGGGGAACAGCAGGCGGGTCAGGAGAGGTCTGCCACACCATGTGGATCTCCTCCGGGGCAGGCAGGAATCAAACCCATGCAGAAGTGGCTTAAGCTTCTTAGTGCTGTGCTTTAACCCACTGCGCCACCAGGGAGGGCCGGCTATGAATTTTTTGTATGTTGATTTTGTAACTGGCCATTGCTGTGCTCATTTATTGTTTCTAATGACTTTCTATTGGCATCTTTAGGACTTTTATATATAATCTGTAATAAATGTATATATAGACATGATATGATGTATGATGTCATCTGCAAATAGTGAGTGATAGTTTCACCTTTTTTTCCACTTGGATTGCATTTCTTTCCTGTTTTTGTTTGATAGCTCTGGCCAAAACCTCTAATAAGTAAAATAGAAGTGTTGACAATGTGGATCCTTGTATCATTCCTGATCTTTCGGAGAAAGCTTTCAGTGTTTCACTGCTAAGTATTATATTGGCTGTTGGCTTTTTACATATGATCTTTTATTACACTGGAGTAGGTTCCTTCTGTGCCTATATTGTTTAGAGTTATCATAACTGGATGCTGAATTTTAGCAGATCTTTTCTCTGCATCTGTTGATATTATCATGTGATTTTTATCTTTTATGATATGATATGCTATATTGATTTACACATATTAACCTGTCCTTGCATTGCTGGGATAAATCCTACTCAATCATGGTATATAATACTTGTGATACACACCGTTGAATTTGATTTTCTAGTATTTTGTTGAAGTATTTTTTTTCATCAGTATTCATCATGGATATTGGGCTATAATTTTCTTGTGCTATCTTTGTCTGGTTTCAGTATTAGGATAATGTCAGCATAAATATATTAGGGATCATTTCCGCTTATACTTGTAAGAATAATCTGAGCAAGGTGGGCAATAGTTCTTCTTTAAAGGATAAAATTCATTTGTAAAGCCATTTGGTCCTGGACTGTTGTTTTTCAGAATTGTTTTTTGTTACTATTTCAGTTTCCATATGTGTGATTGGTTTAATTTATCCGTTTCTTCCTGAGTTAGTCCTGTTACTATATTGATCTAGAAATGTGTTCATTTCTTCAAGGTTATCGAATTTATTGGCTTCTGTGCTACCTGTGGTGACTCTACTAGTGATTTCTCTCTTCTTTTTGTTGTTAGTCTGAGAGGCTTATCTATTTTGTCTTCTCAAAGAACGAACTCTTAGTTTCACTGATATTTTTGTATAATCTTTTTGCTCTCTAGCCAATGTACTTCTGCTCTTATTTAATTCCTTCTACTAACTTTAGGATTAACTTAAGTGTATTTTCTTATTCTTCAGGTGCTTTAGGTATAGTACTAGATTGTTTATTTGAACTTTCCTTGCCTTTTAATGCGGGGCTGTATTGCAGTTATCTTCCCACATTTTATAATTCCTGGTAGCTTCTATGATACTTTTTGTGCATCCAAAGGTATTTTTAAATATTTGCTCCATTACTTCTTTTATTCAATAATTATTAAGGAACATGTTAATTAGTCTCCATGTATTTATACTTTCTATACCAACTTGGTCAGAGACTATACTAGATATAGTTTTGATATTTGTAGTTTTATTGACAAATGACTTGTATCACAAAATATGGTTTATTCATGAAAATATTCCAAATATACTTGAAAAAAAAATGCAAGTGCACCCATTTTTTGGTTGTAATGTTATGTAGATATCTGTTAGACCATTTGGTCTAGTTCTTCATTTAGGCTATTGTTTCCTTATTTATTCTTTATCTTGTTGATCTGTCCATTTTTGTAAGCGGCATATTGAAGTCCCTTAGTATTATGGTGCTACCGTCAAAATCCCTCTTAAGTTGTTATTGTCTTGTGTCTCTCACTGTGCCATCATTTGGTATATATGTATATTTTTGTGAATGTAATTTCTTCTTGTTTTATTAAACCTTATTCATAATATGGTGTCCATATTTATCTATTACTACTTTTCTGAATTGGTATAACAAAGGTATAACTGATTTGGGGGGCTTGTCATTTGCTTATATAACAGTTTTCCAGCTCTTAACTCTTTAGTCTATGCATGCCTTTATTGGTAAGATAGGTTTCTTGTAGATAACAGAGGTTGGACTTCGTTTTGAAATTCATTCAGTCACTCTATATTTTTGACTTCTGAATTAAGGCTGCTTAATTTTTTTTTAAGATTTATTTATTTATGCATACAAGAACTGGACTACAGACCAAAGGTGCCAGAGGTGAGAGGATTCACCAGGTGCAGAGTGGGGAGCAGAACAGGCAGATCTACTGAAATACACTGCTGCGGGAACAGTGGGCAAGACAGGAGAGGTCTCCCTTGCCATGTGGGTCACCTCTTTGGCTGGGGATCCAAGTCGTGGTGCAGTGCTTCAACTCCTTGTGCCACTGAGGGCTGGCCCTCAGGCTTCTTATGTTTAAGGTGCCTATTGAGACATAAGTAATCATTGTCGTATTGTCTTTTTTATTTTTTGAGGATTCCTGTTATGTTTAAGTTCCACTTTTGTCATCTTATGTGTTACTTCTATTCATTGTTGTTTGAGGGTTCTACTGAGGTTAGAATAGGCTAAAATATTTGTGCGACCCATTGGACTGTCTGGTCGCTGACTTATTTTGATGGCCACACTCTTCTCTGATTCCATGTTAAGCAATTTAGGTGTCCATTGCCTTTATATTTGTTGTTCTGTTTCTTTATAGTAATCACTTTAGAATCGCTCTCATGTATGGCTTGCTGTTGCTATATTCTTTTAGTTTTTGCTTTCCAGTGAAGCTCCTTACCATTCATTTTGTTTGAATGTTAATGTTGCTGGGTAAGGGTTCTGGTTTGGAAGTCTTTTTCTTTAAATACTTTAAATATCTCCTCTGGTCCCTTTGTGTTTGTAATATTTCTACAAAAAAAATCTACTGATAGTCTGATTGGTGGTTCCTTAGAGGTTAACCTGTTTTCAATATTCTGTCCTTGTAGTTGGTTTTCAGCAGCTTCATTATAATATGTCCCATTATATTTTCTAGCCATAAAAATCAGCCTCTACCTTTCAGGACTGGAGTCATTTTATTTGCATAGAATTAGCTGTTCCCAAAATGACTGAAAACAAACACCCTTAGAAGTGTGACCAATTGGAGTGAATGCTTAATGATAAACTCATTTCTTCAAATATTATGTCCTTTTGGGGGTCAATTTAATAAATTATTGTTGTATATACACTTGAGAAATACTTTTGGCTGTATTATCTTATATTCTTGATGAGATCTTGCTTTTAAATTTGAAGCATTTACCATTTTTTGGTGTTTCACCAACACTGATAGTTCTTTCAAGTAACAGATCTGAAACTTCTTCACCAATTCAAATATATGGGGTAAGTGGAGGAACATAAGTAATGCTAAGAAAATTATTTTAAAATTTCAAAAATTTTAAGTATTTTAACAATTTTATAATTGTCCCAATTTCTATTTGTTTTCTGTCTTTGAAGACTGATATTTTTATTTATTCTTTATGATGTAATGCTGATTTTGATCAGAGGTAATAGTTGGTATGTCATTTCATATCATTTCTAGAAGGAAACCCACCTCAATATTGCATTTCTTTAAATGTAATGCACATCAAAATTATCTTCTTTATCATATCAGTGAGTGTATTTCAGACCATACTTTCTCCTGACACCTCGCATAAAGATTTTGACTGTCAACTTTAGAGAGGTACAGAGACCATTGTAATGAACAGTTTATGAAAGAGTTTCAGGAAGCTTCAGCAGCCTGGGAAGCAGGCATGTATGAGATCACGCAGGCCTGCATCAGACATGCCAGCTGCGAAGAAGCTGCCTGGGACCATCAGAGTCTAGTAAACATAAGGCTCTGTTCAAAGCCACCGTACTTGGTGGGAAAAGACCTTAAGCTCAGAAAAGAGGAATCTACTCTTGTTTTCCATCTGTGGCATTCTGCCCATCTTTAAAACATTGTACTGTGAACTAAATTTTATCAAATGTAATCCACTGTAACATATGTTTTCAGTATAACATGTTCTATGGAAAGTTACAAATTTTCTACCTCATTGCTTCCTTAACTGATCGTTTTTGTTTATTTCTCAATGTCTTCTCTTACAGCATTCTGTAACGTTAGGATGATTTTCTTAATCATTTTGTTTCACTTTTTCATTTCCTTTCTCCTGTAAGTATTTTATGGAATTTTTTTTCAGATATACTTTATGTGTGAAACTAACAAAATGAAGTAATAGATATACATCAACATACCCCTTTTTCACACATCCACTTTAATCATTTATTTATATATATAAAAGGAAACTGATAGTATAAAAATTTTTAGATTTTCTCACTGTAGGATGTAACATCCTTTACTAAATAGTAAAGAAAAGAAAATTTCCAAGAAGCAGTTCATTTTCCAATTCGCTGGTTTTTGAAATTACTATTTTAATTCATTCAAATTAATACTACTTACTTTCCCAATGAGACACTTCTGATTTTTTAAATCACATACTTTCAAGACCTGCAATTCTGTACAAATAATGAGGTTGTCCAACGAGAGCAGGTCAAGCCTCAGTTTCCACTGGCCCACTGAGGGGCTGGCAGCCCTTTAACCACGGCCTTTGGCTCAAAGTGATGAAGTGATCGAGTGACCTTGGTGAACCAGTTAGTCTTTTTGTCGTGTACAGCCTGGAAATGGAGAAGTGAGGGAATCTGCTGTTTTGCCTGTAGTGCATTTTTCTAGTTGCATTTAACACGGTGATATAAAGATATGAATACAGAGCAGAGAGTGGGGCATATATTCTAACCACTTGCCTGTAAAGAAGAAGAGTAATATCATCAATTTGAATAACTAAGACGATTTCTTCTTTGTCAAGTGTTGTGAATGTTAATATTCCATTTAAGTTTAATGTTATTTTCACTGTGGTCCATTTTTTTTTTTGCTTATTTGTTTCTTTCTTTTTTTTTTTTTTTTATAAGTGTATTGCTGCACTTTGAAGAAGTCACCGATTCCAGTTTTACAGATTTCTGGCTTCCTACATCTGTGTAGAGAGAACATTGCCATGGTATATCCATCTTTTAACAATTGTTTTGTGCTTTGCTGGAAAGCCCACTATGTGTAGCATTTCCTTTGAACATTTGAAAGAAGTGGTACATAACCTTTTTGATTAGGATGTAAAATTTAGTAAAGGATGTTATAACCTACAGTGAGAAAAAGTAAAGTAATTAAAAGATTTTTTTGGCTAGATCCTTCTTCGGGTTTATTTGTACAAAGAGCACTGTAAGACACAGTGCCATGCAGACAGCAGAGCAGGCTCAAGCCCTCTGTCCTTCCCTGGGCACATAGGGTTTTCTATTCTGTGGTGTTTGTGGGGGCCTGAGCACCATTGTGTGGGCCTGCACTGTAGCTGCATCCTGCGCTTGGGTTTCAGCCTTGGTCCTTGGCAGGACAGCATGAGACCTTTGGTGAGGCAGGCCCGTGCATGTTTTCTAACATTAAGGTGAGTGATGTAGGCAAGTCCACTGAGCTTGTGTTGCCCTTTGTGATGTTGACCTTGATCTCTTGGGGCTTTTACAAGGGCCTTGATGGCCTTTGCATGTGCTCTCATGGCCATGGCATTGTTAACCTGCATCTTCTTCAGGCTCTTTTTGCTATGCTTTTTGACAAGGAACTTGGGATCCTCCCCTTAAAAGACTCTCATTTGGGGTTTCTTGATGCCATTTCTGTGCCAATTTCAGGACTGGTTGTGTGTGATGTGCTTCCTAAACTTTTCCATGTCAGAACCTGGAGAAGAGCATAGAACAGGATAGGCTTCTTGTCATAGGGATCTAACTCTGCTGCCCTGATTGAAGGCTGTGTTTCCTCAGTGCTTACAGCCTGAAATGCTGAAAACATTTCTTAGTCTATCACAAGAAAGGTAAGAATCTTCCAGGGACAATCCATAGGCAGAGTATTTCAATTTGCATGGAGCACCATGGTTCAAGCAGCAAAAGATATTAGAAGGATTTTACTGACACTGCAAGCATGAAGTAGGACAATATAAATTCCAAGATCCAATTGATAACAACAGAGATAATATTTAGACAAATAAGCCCTCTTAATACAATGGAGTGGTACATAGAAAAGGAGAACACTACAACCAAATTTGAGAAGCAAGAAATCTTTGCAGAAACATTTCAGAGAAATGTGGAGACCATTTCAAAAAAATTAAAATGACCACTAAACTGCTTAATTTTGATCTATAGATGGGTATATCTTCTGATTCAAGAGAAAACTGGTTCTTTAGCAAACGTGATAGATGGAAATTTACTATATGGTGTCAGGCATTTTCACAGAGGGGGTAGAATTTGAACTAAAACTTGAAAGATTAACAGGATGTAGATAGGGAAGGTGTGATGGGGTGAGGTTTTGTGGGAGAGAGGAGGAACAGATTGCCAACAAATCCCTGAGTCGGCAATGCCCAAAGCCAGCCAGGTCACAAGGCACTTTGCAGTTGTTCCCTAGCAACTTCCCATCACTGCCCACACAGCAGCCTTATCTCCACAACTTCATCACCTCGAGGCTCAGGAGGGCAAAGCCATCTTCCCTTATCTCACGGTCAGCCCTCAGTAAACAGATGGGCCCCAGCAGCCAGGAGAGCACGTCCATACAGCTGTTAGTACAGACCCTCACTGCCAGTCCCTCCCTTCGCCTCGTGACTTGAGACTCAGGACCTGGAGTAAGAAGAGTCCCCCTTGCTTGGGCACTTATGTATGGATTATTTCACTGAGTCCTTGAGACAGTCATCTGGACCCTGTCCCACAGAACAGGAAACTGAGATTCTGAGACATCAAGTCACTTACCCAAGGTAACACAGCAAGTAAGAGGCACAGCTGGGGTCTGAACTCCTGTTGAATCCCAGCTAAACCCTGTGCCCTCAGTCACGTTGTAGTAGAATGTCCTCTTAGCACACAGCACTTACTTATGGGACCTTACGGGACACTCAACCAGCACTATTAACTCAGCCTAGCAATGGTATTGTCTCCAGAAAACAAAGGCACCAGAACTCCAAAGAGAACAAATCATGGAAAAAGTGAGATTAAAAGCAAAGGCTTTTCATTTTCCCACTAGACTTTGTGCTCTGCAAATGTCCAAGTCCCAAGAGGAGTCCTTGTTCTACTCCTGATCTTTCCCTGCAAGTATGCCTACAGGGCCTGATTTTGCCCGCCATTTCCACACATGTCTTTGTAGCAACACTTTGACTCTGAAAGCAAACTGGACAAGAAAATCTGTGATTACTCTACATAAATAGACTGAATAAATGTGATGACAGTATTAAATACACTTCAATAATGACATGGCTTCTTTGAAATCAGGAATAGAAAATGAAGTGAATACAGGACCTATCTGATGGCACAGGTTTTAACATCTCAGCAATATCAAGCTCTCGCCAGGCACTGAGGTATGATGAGTTCGAACTCCAGCCAGGGAGGTAAACCACATATGGTGCAACAGACCTCTCTAATCTCATCTGTTGCTCCCTAATCAATAGATCTGCCTGTGGTGCTCCCCACTCTGTCTCTGGTGAATTCTCTCACTCCCTACGCCTCTGGCCCACACCCCAGTTCTTGTATGCATATATAAATAAAATGAATCTTTAAAAAAAATAAATGAATACAGCAGTGACACCTGTGTCCACATCCAGTGGTCCCAAGAACAGTAAACTGAACCAGGCGGAACCAATAAGACTCATCTTGGGAAGCTGAGCTAGAAACGCTGGAGGAAATTGGCGTGAAACCTTATAACTGTCTATGTAGTTGCTTATTTTTAATCATGCTGATTTATGATAGGAATGTAGGGATTTTGGTACACATGATTTTTATCTTGAACTTCAAAACTAGGGAAAGATTTGACTGGTAATAATTCAGGTAGGAATATTAATGTCTTCATTTATAAACAGGACTTTCCCTTTCTTGGGAAAAACAAGCTTCCTTCATAGATTATATCATTACATCATATTTTCTAGTAGTAAACTTCCGATATGCCCCTTCATGATCAGAACCACTTTATTAGTAGTAGAATTAGCAGTCTCATGAAGGTCTCACACACATGCCTTGGGCCCTCCACAGTGTGCATTACAGCTCTGTAAAGACCTCCATTTCTTCACTTTTTCCTAATTTCTGTTTTGATCCAGTTTATAATTATCACTGCATGAAAGAAACACCCTTAGCAGCAATACCATACATTTTGAATCACGAATGTCATGATGTCCAGCATTTCCTTTCACTTTGTCCATTCTCTTGTTCTGGCTCCTTCACAGAAATTGAGGATAATATTTTGATTTCTTAACTAAATGCTCTCATATTTCCCATAAATCAAAGGGAGTGGTCTTCTTTGGGAATGTAAACAATGTGAACAAAATTTTAATTTGGGAAGTGTTAAAAAATGTGAATATTCATATGCACAGCTCCATCTCTGGTGTGCTGTCTTTGGTGATGAGTTTTGCCATTCTCACCTCTCCGGCTCAGGGACAGTTTTAATAAGACCTGCAGGGGGAAGTTGCTCAGTGATGGCCAATGATTCCAGAGGCACTGCTGGGCATGTGGCAGAGCTCCTATGGAGCTGCGGCGCCTAAGCCCAGAGCACAGCAAGTGCCACCTCCAGGCAATGTCTCCAGGTGACAAGAGTTTTGTAGTGGATCCCTGGTGGGCTGTGTCAAGTAAACGTGTAACCATAAGGATGTAGCATTCACTTGCATTCTCCAAGGTGTCCAATGGAATTATCCGGGGCTTCTTTAGTTTGATATGGCATCTCGTTCTATCATTTTCTTAGTCCTTATATCCTTTTGTGGGAGGAAGACTGAATTTAAAATCTGTACTTTCCACAAATCACACACTTGTATTTTCAAATCGATTGTCATATATATTTGAAAGATAACTTGAAAGTTAAATAATATCATTTATGTTATTCACTATATCTCACCGAGAATATTACTTATATATGCAATTCAGTATTTTTTCAGGGCACATTACTCATGTTTACTCAGTTATATACTTCATGATATTTTTCTAGGACTTACATATCTGAAAGAGAGACTTTTAAATGTATGCATGTTTCAGGATATTCTACTTTTATAAACATAGCTGTTTCTGTCCAGTATTTGGAGGTTGTTGCCATTTTCTCTTTTTTCCACACTGAGGTCTTGGGGCAGAATCTGAGGCAATGGTTAGCCAGGGTGCTATTTTCCAGCGATTCTGCCCTAAGTCTGTGACTTTCTGTTCTAGCCAGAGTGGGTTAGCTCTGGGCAAACAGTACATTTTGGGTTACTGCATAAATAACCAGGACTGTCTGGCATCGAGGGTCAGTTGCGGAGGTCACACACTCAATGGACTGACTAAAGCTGAAATTTCTGCAAGTAAGGTGCTTGCCCTGGCGCCACGGCTTCCAGGTGCTCTCTGAGGGGGTTACAGAGGCTCGAGACAGTGTACTTTCCATGACTTCTAATTGGTCCTTGCCAAGTAGAAAGACCCAATCACATTTAAAGTCATGGTTACTGACAAGGTTGGCTTCAGCATTTCCTCCAATCAGATTAGTGCTCAGGCCAACCTCATTTGAATACGGTGGCATATAAATACACTGTGCACTCTCTGCAAGCACTAGTCTTTAGTTGGCATGCGTGAACTCTGTCAGTAGAATCTGACATTCGTCTCAGTTTGCCTTTACCAAGGAAGGTATTAAAAAAGTACACATTTTTACCGTGAATTAAATGCTGTCAGATCTCAACTATATTTTCTCCTATATCCGTGTGCATAGTGTTTCCAGGAACACCACGATTTTCTTAACTGCGTAACATGATTTCCTATCCTAAACATTTCTGAAGGAAAGTCATTATGGACATCTTGTTTAAATGATACTTGCCTTCCCCCGCCCTACCACCACCCCCCATTGTCTCAGTGCTGTAGGTTTTTAATTTACCAGAAGCTCATTATGTTTGATATAGGAACAAAGCCACCTCACTTAGGTAGGTCAAAAAAGACCTGTGGTAACTTCGACATGCTCTGTAGAATTGTTCCAAGCTAACTGTTAACCACATTTTACCTGGAACAAAATATTACTAATCCATATCAGTGATTTTTTTTTACATATGTCTAGTACAATATCTTCCATAATGCTTCCTTAAAAATATTGAATCAAGCAGTTTCTTAGCTGGTCATTTTTATTATTTTTCTGCATCACCAGCTATAGGTTTCCTTATGATCTAAATGTTTCAGAATAATTTTATTTACCATTTTAATCTTTATTCTTCACAAAAGTTGAAGGAATAAGAGTTCTATTAAGCACACAATTTTTACACCACACATGTTTAAGGGCTTCAAAAATAGTTTCATCGTGGTCCCCATTTTGGTATATGTTCCGTGCTTGGAGATCGTGCTTGTGTCATTTCTCAGCAGAATCTCTGAGATTTCTGATCAGAGGTGGAAAGAGTAGCCACCATTTCATTCACGGATTTCCAGAGCACAGAAGTTAAGAATTGTAGGCAAAGAACCCAGTGTGAGTGTCCTCATGGTAGTGTATATTTGGATTGTGGCTGCCAGAATCTCTAAAACCAATACTAATTACAATAATTAAAACCCATTTGGTGAGGCTTTGCAAATCTCCCGTGCTTTAACACATCACAGTTCATTTTTTCAATGACCGTTAGCTCTAAGGGATAGCTTTCAATGGTTTTCTAACAGATGTTACAGAAAGGTCCAGAGGTCACCAAACATCAGTCTACTCTGATGTTAGCCAATCCCATCTGACTCGATGGCACCTTGCCCAGTCACTGCCTCCCGCCACTCACTGCATTTTATCCAATGAGAGGTGGGTATTGCCATGACGTCAGCGAAGGCAGCCCCTATAAATGGGCCACCGCTCCCTTAAAAGTTACCATTGTCCTTCCTGCCTGCTGTCAGGAAGTTGACTCTGAAATGGCCGACGCTTTCATCGAACTTCGACTGAGGAGTGCCTGGGCTCAGGGGAGCCGGCAGTTCCAAGCCTGAAGAAGAAGCAGAAGGAGAAGCACACGCAGAAGCAGCAGCAGCAGCAGCAGAAGGCAGCCCCGAAGAGGAAGCAATCCACGTGCCGCAGGCTCGCCAAGAAACAACGCCAGAGCTTCACCACCTACTTCCCCCGGGTTCTCAAGAAAATCCACGAGGACCTGAGCCTTTCACAGGAGGCCCTGAGCGTCCTGGATTCCTTCGTGAAGGTCATGTTCGAGCGCATCGTCCAGGAGGCCAGTCACCTGGTCCGCTCCAACCAGCGCGCCACCCTCACGTCCAGAGAGATCCAGACGGCCGTGCGCCTGCTGCTGCCCGGCGACATCGGCAAGCACGCCGTGAACGTGGCCACCAAGGCCGTCATCAGATACACTAGCTGCGCGTGAGCCGCCTGTCCCGGGCCACCAGAGCCCCATAAACCAAAGGCTCTTTTCAGAGCCACCTTCTTTGTCACAAAAAGGCCTGTAGCTCTCCAAACACAGCCCTCTGTTTGTCCAGCCGGCGGCGCTCTGCCCTTGCTTGCAACACTGCTGCTTTCCATCAGTAACGAATACGATCGAGACGTACATTCGCAGTTATCTTCACTTCCTTTTAGATCGACTTCTATGACCATAGTGTTTAATAGATGCCCGCTAGGGGCACTGACTGAGATTTTTTGGAAATTGATGTTTAGTGGGGTTGAGTAAAGTGCACAAATACTCAAAGATTTAGCGTTTACTCGTATTGTCCAAAAAGTGTCCAATGGAATTTTCCATGGTTTCTTTAGCTTGGTATGTCAGCATATAAATGTAGACACTTTGTTTATACACACACACACACACATATGTGTGTATATATACACACATATGTGTGTGTGTATGTGTGTATTTGTATGCATTTGTTTTTTACTTACCTCATATTAGAAATTAAATATCTAAACAAGGACCTAAATATCATGAAGAAATTAGTTAAATACAAATATCTAGGAGCTTCACTCTTCTATTTCCCTGGCTTTTGAAATTTCTTTCTATTCATTGCAGTTTCTTTGGTTCTATTCTGCTGCAGCCCATAGCCTTTAAACTTTTCATACACAACCTTTGTGTCTTCCATTTCACACATGATGGGACTTTCTAGTGGTAACAACTCAAACCTCACAGGATCTTGGAGTCCAGGAGGACACAGTCATTGGCCCAAAGTCAGGTAGAATGAGGAACGCTCAATACAACCTTCCCGTGGTGTTAAACTTAAAGTCAAGAATAAGCAGATGACATTTAAAATTTTTTTCTTCTGTTTGCTTTCTTTTTTTTATTCATGATTATGGAAGGATACCATTCACAGCAAGGAGTGGGATGTATCTAAAGTTCCTTCCATAAAATTAGCAGTAGAGTGTCAGGAATTGAGAAAGCTAAAACATCTCCTTCCTTATACCTTTTCTGGTAATATAAAAATAATTTGCAATACCTTTGTCTTGGCCCAATTTTTATTAGTTTTATTTTCTTATGACATGATGATAAAAAAAATTTTGAGTAGTGTTGATTTTTTATTTTTTACAAATTTTATAATAGTTTATTTTTACATATTTTGTGCATTTTTCCATCTCAGTTGCAATTCCCTTGGGTTTCCCATCACCAAATCACCCATGTGCCATCACCATAGTCCAGTGCGTTTCCCTCCCCCCATGGTTTTTGATCCCTTTTCCCACTCCACCCCCACAAAATGTCTCTAGTATATAGCTGTTCATCATTATCATTATTTCTTTGCCTGTTCCATTAATTCTTGCTATGAGAGAAATGTTCCATTATATTCCTGCTGTGAGAGAAACCATCCGGTATTTTTCCTTTTCTTTCTGGCTTATTTCACTAAGCATGATCTTTTCCAGCTCCATCCATGTTGCTGCAAAGACATATGTTTCCTTTTTTTTGTTTGCTGAGTAATATTCCATTGTGTATATGTACCACATCTTTTTAATCCAGTCATCCATTTTTGGGCATTTGGGCTGTTTCCATGTCTTCCCAATTGTGAATAAAGCAGCAATAAACATGGGGGTGCAGGTGTCTTTTTAAATCAGTGTTTTTGTGTCTTTGGGGTAGATACCTAGGAGTGGGATTGCTGGCTCATAGGGAAGCTCCATGATTAGCAGTTTGAGGAACCTCCAAACAGTTTTCCACAGTGGTTGTACTAGTTTGCATTCCCACCAGCAGTGTAGGAGAGTTCCTTTTTCTCCACATCCTCGCCAACATTTGTTGTTGCTAGCTGTTTGAAGATGTGCCATTCTCACTGGTGTGAGGTGGTATCTCATTGTGGTTTTAATTTGTATCTCCCTTATTACAAGTGATGTTGAACATTTTTCATATACCTCTTGGCCATCTGCATTTCTTCTTTTTTATTTTTAAAAAAGATTTATGTATCTATGCATACAAGAACTGGGGTACAGGCCAGAGGTAGGGGGGATGAGAGGATTCACTGATGACAGAGTGGGGAACAGAACAGAAGATTGAGTGAAACACACTGCTGAGGGGAGCAGTGGGTGAGAAAAGAGAGGTCTGCTGTGCCAAGTGTCAACACAGGAGGTGACCCACATGGCACAGCAGACCTCTCCTGTCTCGCCTGCTGCTCCCCTCAGCAGTGTACTTAGTACATCTGCCTGTTCTGCTCCCCACTCTGTCTCTGGTGAATCCTCTCGCAGCCCCTGCAACTCTGGCCTGTACCCCAGTTCTGTATACATAAATAATAAATTTTAAAAAAGAAATTATAGGCATGAAATAGGGAGTCTTTTAGGATACGGGGACAAGCATCCTCCATTGAAGCTTATTTCATCATTTATTGTTTAAGGACTTCATGATCCCAAACTGTGAAGAAATACCTAAATCCAGTGGTTCAAGAGCAATACCTAATCCAGACTTCCTGGTATCTGAAGTTTCTAGCCAAGTCACTCAGGTGATCCGATTCTATTCTTTGCCAGGCCTGAGTCTTTTGTTTTGGGAAACACAAACATCCTGACTTGTACCTAGATATCACTGGGCAGGTTGAGAGTGTGGAGATTTAGTACAGGTCTAGCCCTCACTGGCCCTGAGCCAGTCAGTGGGGATTTAAACTGCTGAGCCAGTCATTAGCTCCAGGGGCAAAGAGGAGTTCCAGATGAACCAATTAGAGTCTTACTGGGACTATACATCTCAGGGAATGGCAGAAACATAGGGGAGGCTCTTTGGCCCTGCTGTTTCTTTGTTTTAATGGTTTCATGTTTCTAGTCAGGGTGACTTAAAATGATACACTAGTTTGCTAGAGCTGTGCTATTAATTGCCAGAGTGCAATTTCCTTGAAGAACATAATTTTGTCTTACACCTTTGGGGGCTCAAATTTCAATAACGGTGTTAGTTGATTTGGCTTCTCTTAAGTGGCGTGACAGTCAGATGTTTTCCAGACTTCTACCTTTTGGGTCTAGATGATGAGTAGACACAAGTCATTTTTTAATTCAGGCCACCCTAATGAGTGTATATATATATTAAGATTTATTTATTTATGTATACAGAACTAGGGTACAGGCCAGAGGTGCAGGGGCGGCGAGAGGCTTCACCAGAGACAGAATAGGGAGCAGAACAGGCAGATCTACGAAGTACACTGCTGAGGGGAGCAGTAGGCGAGTCAGGAGAGGTCTGCCACGCCATGTGGATCTCCTCCGGGGCAGGCGGGAATCGAACTCATGAGGAAGTGGCTTTGGCTTTTCAGTGCTGTGCTTTAACCCGCTGCGCCACCAGGGAAGGCCCCCTAATGAGTATATTTTAACTTGATTACCTCAATAAAGAAGGCACCTCCAAATACTGTCATATATCAAGCACCAGGGATATAGAATGAACATATGAATGTGAGAAGGACACAAGTCAAACCATAGAAAGGATGAATTTTGGGTCACAGGAGGGCAAACCTCCTGATGTTCTATTATTATTATATGTATATATTGTTAAAAGATGTATTTATTTATGCATACAAGAACTGGGATACAGGCCAGAGATACAGAGGTGAGAGGATTCACCAGAGACAGAGTGGGGAGCGGAACAGGCAGATCTACTGAAATATACTGCTGAGGGGAGCAGCGGGTGAGACAGGAGAGGTCTGCTGTGCCATGTGGATCACCTCCTGGCTGGGGATTGACTTGTTCTGCATTGGCTGTGGATTGCTTCACAGTGCTTCACATTAACCCCTAATTCCACCAGGGAGGCCCTTATTTCTATTATTATTGTTAGAACATTGGTGACCATAAGGGAAATAGGGTGACCCACCCACACTGTTTTCCTCAACTCTTATAATGCAGAACAACTTTATTTTGATTTTTATTTCTAACCTCCTACTTGATGACAGAAGATACTCTGGCCTTTAAGTCCTTATAAATGCATTGTGAATGCTTGAAACTCCACTGCAGTTTTCTTAAATATTGCCTTTGCACGTTTAAAGTAAGATGTCTATGCTCCTATTGACAAGGAAGGGAAACAAAAACAAAATTGCTATAAATTCCCCTGTTGATTTGGGATATGAAAACCTGTAAAGGATGTCACTCTCAAGTCTAAACTTGACATAATGTCTGGATAATCTATAGACACTAAATTTTTTTTTTTTTTTGAGACCTGAGCAATGATACAGCTATGGTACAAGCATCCTGCATGAGAATCAACACACAAAAGCTACTTAATTTTAGCCTAGCTCCACGGGTTCAAGAGTGAGATTAAGGCAAGTTAGGATAATAGAAAGAACAGGTATAAAAGAGGGCAAAGCCTGATGGAGGAGGTGATATAAAAGGATGGGATTTGTTTGGAACCAGTGGGTAATAACTCTGATGACATTCTATATCTCCAGAGCTCTCCTTGGAATCACTAGAGTAAGGATCTAGGCAAAATGAGTTCCCTTCATCAGGAATATTTATTAGGATTATTCTTGCGAATTAGAAAACTCTGATGAAAGAATCTGAAAGAATCTGAAAGGAAAAGAATCTGTTGCCCAAGGAGGTCAGAAAGACTTGCAATACATCACCTTCAAGTTGATTATCTGGTGGTGATTACTGGAAATGGTCTTACCATCCAATCAAATTTTGGAAGCAAAAATATCATTGTAGGTTCTTGCACATTATGACAGGGAGAACTAACCTATTTTAATAAATCACTTAATATCTGTTGTGAAAATAAGAAGCCATGGAGATCAGCTTTGAAATATTCTTGTGTAGAGAAAACCAGTTTAATCATATAGGCAAAGCTTATTGCACTTTAGCTGACTTCATGAGACTCACTTGATCTGGTATTTCTACTCTATGCCTCTGGAAATCATAAGGGAAAGAAACTGTTTTCCAAGATTGATATGAGGTAGCCACTAAGATTATTATTATTATTATTAAAGATTTATTTATTTATTCATATGGAAC